AGGGGTTTCCGACCAAACCCCGGTCGGGCAGCCTCACCGTTTGTTATTCTGTGCAGATCTTCAATTCCCAAAGCCTGCTGTTCATCCACGAAGTTCAACCCTTCTTTATAGTGCATAAATCACCCCCGCACAATTTCATCAATGCTAGAAACTTGATTCTCTGCCATTGCTATAATTTGTGTCATGAAAATGATATTTGATCCATAGCATCACTCCATAAAATATTTTTAAAAGATGAAAATGGAGAGAGAGAGATTTGTCTTTTTAAACAGATCATCTCTTTTTTTCTTTTTTTGAGCAAATATCTCTCTCTCTCTCTCTCTATATGTGTGTGTGTATATCACAATTTGGTCTGGATACATGTTTGGTTTCGACTTTCACATCTTGTTCTTGGATTTCTCAAAATCTTCGTCTTCTTTGATGAGCCATAAACAAGTGGCTGGACATTCAAAGCACTAAGGAGAGGAGAGAGAAAGTGGATATGGGGAGTAAAAATTAAACAAATAAGGAAAATATGTTTAGTAAATAGATAGGAAATTGAATTGTTATTTTAATAGATAAAAAAATTGAATAGATAAAAATTTGTAGGGATAAAATTTGAATAGATATGAAAAAAATTAACATATATAGAGGAGTGTAAAAATGGCTCACGGTCCGTGGGCGGCCGAAAGCCTACCCGTGGCCTGGAGTGGGCTCGAGCCCAATCTGGCCCATCATTTTGAAGCCCGGGCCATCGGCCCGCTTAAGGGCCACTCAAGGCCCGACCCAAGATCCAATGTCTTTTTTAGTGGAAAATAATAAAATTTTGGTAGAAAAAATAAAAAAACAAAAAAAAAATATTCAAACTCACCCAGGCCCAGGCCCATTGGTCCGGCCCGAGCTCGGCCCACCAGCCCGTCCAAGGCCTGAATACCCATGGGCTTGGACCTAATTTTTTGGCCCATGGGCTGGCCCGAATTTAGGTGGGAGCTCGCGAGACCCGACATTGGCCGGGCCAAATTTACACCCCTACATATATATATAAATTTAAGCAGATAATGGAAAAAATTTGAACAAGTAGTCAAAAAATTAAACAGATAAAAAAAATATTTGAACAGAGATAGTCAAAAATTCAACAGATTAATAAGAGGTAAAATTGGAAATAAAATATCTACCAAAACAACAAAACGATTTTTTTTTTTTTTTTTTGAACAGAAGAAAAATGATGCTATGAGGTGTCATCATGGCATCTGTGGGTTCAGGACCTGGGATAACCGCTTGACAGCCTAATTTGACCCAACCTATAGGAAGGAACCCACCACCGAGGCACCAGAGGAGCTCATCAACCACTCCCAACAGGGCCAAGTTTACAGCGCGAGGTCTCGAAGATAACCATTAGAAAATTTAGCATTTTCGCGCCCCCCAGAAGTCGACTTGACTCACGGTTATAGGAAGGCAATGCCTTCACCACTGGGCCACCACCCCCGGTGGTACAAAATGATTTCTTACCAAACTATTTCATAAATGGTGGACTTTTCACTAATAAAATATATCCATTAGACCTAATGCATTAAGCAATTGCTAAATTGAACTTTTCAACAAATTTTTCTATTTTTTTTTTTTGGGTTGAGCTTATTTCATGTTGGTTTTCTCAACTTGAGAGAGCATTTGGATTTGGTAGGCCAATTTTGAGGCCGGTTCGGTGATTTGAACTGTTTACTTTAGGACTAGTTAAGTAGAATGTTCATATAAAAAATCAAGATGATCGGTCATTAGTAACTATATCTAAAAAAAACCAAACCAAACCTTAAGTCCCATCAAATGGGGTTGGCTACATGAATCCTTCTTTTTCACGCGGCTCTATCAAAAGCCATTTCATTAGTCAAATTAAGTAGATCCATATCTCTATTTACAATGCTAACTAACGTTAATCTAAGCCTACCCCGTCTCCTAACACTTTTATCTACTGTTACAATATCGCATCTCTTCACTATTGCCTCTGTTTGTCTCCGTTGAATATGACTAAACCATCTCAATCGATTCTCTCTTAATTTATCTTCTATCGGTGCTACTTCTACCCATTCCTGAATACACTCATTCCTAATTCTATCTTGTCTAGTCTTGCCACACATCCACCTTAGCATTCTCATCTCAGCCACACTTATCTTATCTATATGTTGTTTCTTGGTTGCCCAACACTACGTCCCATACAACATCGCTAGTTTAATAGCCGTTCTATAGAACTTACCTTTAAGTCTAGTGGTATTCGTTTATCGCACAGTACCTCAGACGCACTTTTCTACTTACACTATCTTGCCTTAATCCTATGGGCCACATCCGTATCAATCTTCCCTCCTGTTGTGATAATTGACCTTAAATAACGAAAATGTTCACTCTTAGGCAGTTCTTGGTTCTCAATCTTCACTTCTCATCTACTTTCATTGTTACTGTTACTAAATTTACACTGTACTCTGTCTTAGTTCTGCTTATCCGAAATCTTTTAGATTCAAGAGCTTTTCTCTAAATCTCCAACTTTATATTAACTCATTCTCTAGTCTCATCCACTAGCACTATATCGTCTGCAAAAAGCATACACCATGGCACATCATCCTGGATATTTATCGTTAACTCATCCATAACTAAAGCAAAAAGATAAGGACTTAAGGTAGATCCTTGATGTAACCCTATAGTGATAGGAAACTCATTTGTCTCTCTAGCAGGCGATCTAATAATGGTTACCATCCCTTCATACATGTCCCTAATCATATCAATGTAACCTTTTGTCGTCCCTTTCTTCGCTAACATCCACCATATTATATCCCGGGGCACTCTATCATAAGTTTTCTTAAGTTCGATAAATACCATATGAATGTTTCTTTTCTTTTCTCTGTACTTTTCTATTACTCTCCTCAAAAAGATAGATCGCTTCCATTATTAACCTGTCAGGCATAAACCCAAATTGATTATCTGACACCTCTGTTATATCTCGTAATCGGCGCTCCATCACTCTGTCCCATACTTTCATTATATGACACATTAACTTGATTCTTCTATAGTTGTTGCAATTCTGGACATCTCCTTTATTCTTATAGATTGACACTAAAATACTCTTCCTCCACTCATCTAGCATGTTCCTAGTCAACAAAATTTTGCTAAACAACCTAGTCAACCAAGTAACCATTTTTTTACCCAAACACTTCCAAACTTCAATAGGGACATCATCTGGTTCTAAAGCCTTATTTGATTTCATCTTCTTAAATGCAATCTCCACTTCAAAGTTCCTAATCCTGTAATAGAACCTATAGTCTTGATTTATCGTATTACTGGCTATTTCTTCCCCTATTGTTGTACCTCCATGTTCCTCATTTAATAGTTTCTCAAAATAGTTATTCCATCTTTCCTTAATCTCTTCATCCCTCACGAATACCTTAGAATCCTCCCTCTTGATGCACTTAACTTGATTAAAATCTCTTATTTTCCTCTCCCGTATCGTAGCAAGTTTGTATACCCTCTTCTCTCTCTCCTTACTATCTAGTCTAGTGTATAGGTCATCATAAGCTTTCAACTTAGTCTCTCTTACGAATTTTTTGACCTCCTTACTGGCCAATCTATAGCGCTTAAGATTTTCCTCAGTTCTATCATTTTGTCACTTTTTAAAGCTATTTTTTTTCGTCTTTATTACCGCTTAAACCTCCTCCCTCCACCACCAAGTTCCCTAAAGTGGGGTCCCTTTCTTTTCGACTCTTAAAGAACTTCCCTTGAGATTCGCCTCATACAATTGGCCATCGAGTTCCATATAGTGTTAGCATCATCTTCCATGTCCCAAGTACCTTCTTTATCCATTCTATTCTTAAATGTGTCTAGTTTATCCTCTTTTAGGTCCTATCATCTAGTCCTACAACGTCCACTATCTTTCCGAGCTTGGTATTGCCCTTTAAAACATAATCTAGTACCCAAATCCTATTTTGAGACTTCAAGCTCTCTCCAGGAATCACTTTATAGTCACTGGATTTTAGACGGTCCCCTTTTCTTACTAGAAAGTAATCTATTTGATTCCTAATTGACCCACTCTTGAAGGTTATCAAATGTTCCTCCCTCTTCTTATACATAGTATTGGCCACAACTAGGGTAGATGCCAACGCAAAATCTAAAATACTCTTTCCAGTCTCATTTCTATCACCAAAACTTTACCCACCATGCACCCTCTCATAACCTAGTTTATCTACTCCTACATGGCCATTGAAATCACCACCTATAACTAGGTGCTGTCCTACTGGTACCTCTTGTAATACCTTATCCATTTGTTCCCAAAAAACTCTCTTAGTCTAATCATCTAATCCTACTTGGAGGGCATTTGCACTAATAGCATTCACTATATTCTCTCCAATAACTAGTTTAACTAACATAATCCTATCACATTTCCTAATGACCGCAACTACATTTTTTACAAGATTCTTGGCAACTATTATTCTTACTCCATTCATGTGTCTATCCTTGCCACTATAATATAGCTTAAAACCGGTATCCTCTATTTCCCAAGATTTCTCACCCGTTCACTTCGTTTCTTGTACACAAACCATACTAACTTTTCTCCTAATCATGACATCTATCAATTCCATAGTCTTACCAGTTAAAGTTCCTATATTCTATGTGGCTACCCTAAATCTATAATCTTAGACTAGCTTCTTTATCTGCGCTCATCTAGAAAAACGCGAAAACCTTTGCTCATTTTTCACCGCACCCAGGTGTCGATGCGGCACCCCTTGCTCACTTTTCGAAACACCCGGAGGCAGGCGCAACGCATCACTTAAGGGGAACAACCTAGCATTTAAATATCAACCTGTCTCGAAATTGAGATGTAACATTTCTTGTGTAGCATTGGGGTGTAATTATTAGAATAAATGCAAGATTAATTTCCAATTCTTTGCATACTCCTTAAAGAATAAAAATTAGCAAATAGTAAGAGTTTAGCAAGTCAAATTTGGTCCAAGTTCGTGTCCACTTAACATAACCGTAATCTTTTTTATGTGAATACGCTACAAATTTGTTTGCGTTAATGGCAATGCATGAATCAATTCATACCTCACCATAAACCGTGTTGATCCTGGATCCCCTTGCCTGCCTGCTCTACCACGGAGCTTTGAAAAAGCATAACTTTGAAATTAGAAATATGTCTAAAATGGAGAAACATGACCAAGACACAAAACAAATCATCTACTAAGAAGCATGAAAAGTTAAGCTTCAGATCACCAAGATACTTCAGTAGTTTGCATTAATGGCAATGCATTAACAGATGAGCATACAAGCCTTGAAGAGAGTGTTAAATATTATTTTAAAGGCACAAAAAAATGGAATTCCCATTATGTTACTAAACCTTGCAAATCCTTCTATGAGATCAAATTCAGAAGATACACATCCAAAGTAAACCACAATAGACTCTATGAATTTCATATCCAAAAATTGGGCAAGGAAAGACAAAACATTGGGAAATAACCTCAGGAGGAAAACTCCATAAAGGCCTCAACAGAAATGGAAAAAAGATAACTAGGGTGTAAGTTCCAAAAATGGACTTCTGAAAGACGCAAAGGATTTTTTTTCCAAATCCTGTAAGCGACATTTAAATACAGCTAGATGTCTAACATTCAGCCTACATCTCAAAACAAATTATAAGCTAGATTAAATTGCGCTTGCTAAAAAAGAATGGCAGCTCCAAAATGGCTGAATTCAAATGAAATGTATTGTGATGATGATGATGGTGATGATGAAGCATTCACAGAAATGCGTGAACAGTTTTTCTGTCTTGAAAAAGTTCTTAGTCAAGCAAGGACCACATCAACAAATTTACAATGTAATACCAAAACACTTGCTGTAGAAATAAAGAGCATTCTATGGCACAATAACAATGAAATATATATGCATCACAAAATTAATAATCACAACAAAGCAATTAGACAGCATGGATGCTTAAAGACTTCACAAATTCAAAAATTTCAGTTGTTCAAAAATCAAGATACAGAATTAAGCCAGTAACTTGCATACTATTAAATCAAGCATTTGTTCCTTCTTAATTGTCAGTGTAGTTAAGTTACTCACTTGGTTATCTATTCTCCGGGACTCATGCAATGATGTCCCAATCACATGAAGGCCCCCAAGCCTTTTCACTTCCAACCCTTCACTAAAACAGTGTTTTTCACAATCTTTTAGAACTGAGAGATAAGCCAGCCCTATCGAAGGACCAAGTGGGTAACTCTCAGACTGTTCATTAACAAGCTTCTCAAGCTCTTGCAACTCTGTTGACTGACCCATCTCCACAGACTCTGAAATAATCGATTTTGCTTCCTGATATGTCCAGCTCTTACCCTCACTTTTGCATACATATTTAGCTACATAATTTGTTTGAAATGAAGTTCTCATTAAATAAATAAATAAAAAAAACTAAAGAAAATTTTAAATAAATAAACAGAACAAAGGGACATGTAAAACAAAAATGATTTCAAGAATAGATCGTATTGGAAACTTTTTATTAACAGATGACTTCAAGAGTGTGATTACTGACCCATCAGTGCCATCTTAGCTAGCAAACCTAGTGATGATGGTCCCACCTTTATCTTTGATAACACCTGCGCCGAGAGATTGGTAAGGAAACTGAAAATATCTCTTTAGCAGCAAAGAGTGACCACAGGTGAGAGTCACCTTTTGTGAAATATCGAAGGGGAAAGACGGATGTCTAACCAAATCTGTGTAGATCTACTCAGATCTGATGTAGATCTGAGTAGATCTATATCAGATCTAAGTAGATCCATTCATCTTCTTCGTCGGAAAATATATCATCTTCTTCGTCGGAGTTGATTTCAATGCTTGGTGGTTATCAATGAACCCTGATCAATGGAGGAAGATATGATTACCGGTGGTCCTTTTCCATGACAAACACGGTGACAGAAAAATGTAGAAAAAAAATGAGAGAGGAAGGGAAGCAAAAAGCAGAGAGAGAGAGGAAAGGACTTTTGGGTGTAGTGAAAAAGTTATGGGATTAAATGGAGATCACATGTTTCCCATGGGACCTATGGGTAATTTCCCCATAAAAAAATTGAATAGATAAAAATTTGTAGAGATAAAATTTGAATAGATATGAAAAAAATTAACATATAGATAGGAGTGTAAAAATGGCTCACGGTCCGTGGGCGGCTGGAAGCCCACCCGTGGCTTGGAGTGGGCCTGAGCCCAACCTGGCCCATCATTTTGAAGCCCGGCCCATCGGCCCACTTAAGGGCCACTCAAGGTCCGACCCAAGATCCAATGTCTTTTTTAGTGAAAAATAATAAAATTTTGGTAGAAAAAAAAAAAAAATATTCAGACCCACCCAGGCGCAGGCTCACTGGTCCGGCCCGAGCTCGACCCACTAGCCCGCCCAAGGCCTGAATACCCATGGGCTTGGACCTAATTTTTTGGCCCATGGGCTGGCCCGAATTTAGATAGGAGCTCGCGAGGCCCGACATTGGCCGGGCCAAATTTACACCCCTACATATATATATATATATATATAAATTTAAGCAGATAATGGAAAAAATTTGAACAAGTAGTCAAAAAATTAAACAGATAAAAAAATATTTGAACAGATAGTTAAAAAAAATAAACAGATAGTCAAAAATTCAACAGATTAATAAGAGGTAAAATTGGAAATAAAATATCTACCAAAACAACAAAAGGACTTTTTTTTTTTTAACAGAAGAAAAAGAATGCTATGAGGTGTCATCATGGCATCCGTGGGTTCAGGACCTGGGATAACCGGTTGACAGCCTGATTTGACCCAACCCATAGGAAGGAACCTACCACCGAGGCACCAGAGGAGCTCATCAACCACTCCCAGCAGGGCCAAGTTTACAGCGCGAGGTCTCGAAGATAACCATTAGAAAATTTAGCGTTTTCGTGCCCCCCAGAAGTCGACTTGACTCACGGTTATAGGAAGGCAATGCTTTCACCACTGAGCCACCACCTCCGGTGGTACAAAATGATTTCTTACCAATCTATTTTATAAATGGTGGACTTTTCACCAATAAAATATATCCATTAGACCTAATGCATTAAGCAATTGCTAAATTGGACTTTTCAACAATTTTTTCTAATTTTTTTTGGGTTGAGCTTCTTTCATGTTGGTTTTCTCAACTTGAGAGAGCATTTGGATTTGGTAGGCCAATTTTGAGGCCGGTTCGGTGATTTGAACTATTTACTTTTAGGACTAATTAAGTAGAATGTTCATATAAAAAATCAAGATGATCGGTCATTAGTAACTATATCTAAAAAAATCAAACCAAGCCTTAAGTCTCATCAAATGGGGTCGGCTACATGAATCCTTCTTTTCCATGCGGCTCTATCAAAAGCCATTTCATTAGTCAAATTAAGTAGATCCATATCTCTATTTACAATGCTAACTAACGTTAATCTAGGCTTACCCCGTCTCCTACCACTTTTATCTACCGTTACAATATCGCATCTCTTCACTATTGTCTCTGTTTGTCTCCGTTGAATATGACTAAACCATCTCAATCGATTCTCTCTCAATTTATCTTCTATCGGTGCTACTCCTACCCATTCTTGAATACACTCATTCCTAATTCTATCTTGTCTAGTTTTGCCACACATCCATCTTAGCATTCTCATCTCAGCCACACTTATCTTATCTATATGTTGTTTCTTGGTTGCCCAACACTACGTCCCATACAACATCGCTAGTTTAATAGCCGTTCTATAGAACTTACCTTTAAGTCTAGTGGTATTCGTTTATCGCACAGTACCTCAGACGCACTTTTCTACTTACACTATCTTGCCTTAATCCTATGGGCCACATCCGTATCAATCTTCCCTCCTGTTGTGATAATTGACCTTAAATAACGAAAATGTTCACTCTTAGGCAGTTCTTGGTTCTCAATCTTCACTTCTCATCTACTTTCATTGTTACTGTTACTAAATTTACACTGTACTCTGTCTTAGTTCTGCTTATCCGAAATCTTTTAGATTCAAGAGCTTTTCTCTAAATCTCCAACTTTATATTAACTCATTCTCTAGTCTCATCCACTAGCACTATATCGTCTGCAAAAAGCATACACCATGGCACATCATCCTGGATATTTATCGTTAACTCATCCATAACTAAAGCAAAAAGATAAGGACTTAAGGTAGATCCTTGATGTAACCCTATAGTGATAGGAAACTCATTTGTCTCTCTAGCAGGCGATCTAATAATGGTTACCATCCCTTCATACATGTCCCTAATCATATCAATGTAACCTTTTGTCGTCCCTTTCTTCGCTAACATCCACCATATTATATCCCGGGGCACTCTATCATAAGTTTTCTTAAGTTCGATAAATACCATATGAATGTTTCTTTTCTTTTCTCTGTACTTTTCTATTACTCTCCTCAAAAAGATAGATCGCTTCCATTATTAACCTGTCAGGCATAAACCCAAATTGATTATCTGACACCTCTGTTATATCTCGTAATCGGCGCTCCATCACTCTGTCCCATACTTTCATTATATGACACATTAACTTGATTCTTCTATAGTTGTTGCAATTCTGGACATCTCCTTTATTCTTATAGATTGACACTAAAATACTCTTCCTCCACTCATCTAGCATGTTCCTAGTCAACAAAATTTTGCTAAACAACCTAGTCAACCAAGTAACCATTTTTTTACCCAAACACTTCCAAACTTCAATAGGGATATCATCTGGTTCTAAAGTCTTATTTGATTTCATCTTCTTAAATGCAATCTCCACTTCAAAGTTTCTAATCCTGCGATAGAACCTATAGTCTTGATTTATTGTATTAATGGCTATTTCTTCCCCTATTACCGTACCTTCATGTTCCTCTTTTAATAGTTTCTCAAAATAGTTCTTCCATCTTTCCTTAATCTCTTTATCCCTCACCAATACCTTTGTAACAACCTTCGTCACTGTTTACCGAATAACCACTGATTACCGTTAAACTGAAACTGATTATGACTGTTAAGTGAACTGAATAAACTACTGAACTGACTGACTGAAATTGAAACTGAATTGATTGAGTATACCTGTTTAATTGTAATTCTATCTGTTCTGTTTAATTGTAATTCTATCTGTTTGGTTATTTGATTATCTGTTCGTGTCTTTGTGTTTAAACTGCTAATTGAGGGCCTTATTGGCGGCTGAATCGGAAACCGATTAGTGTTTTATGATCATCGTGATTTATGTGATTTTATGGTATAATTACCTGAAAACTGATTAGGTATGATTAAATTAGATTAAAATGAGTTAAATTGCATTGTTACACTTATTTACCATTTTGCCACACTTAGTGGCCCACTACTTGAGCCATGTTTGAGACTTACTATATGTTTAGGCAACTCTTCATCAACTCATTTTCATTGTTTTGCCGACTAAGAGAGTTAAAGGGGGAGAAATTGAGTTCTAAATTGTGTTTTGTTTGGAAATTGAAGAAATTGTAGAAGAGATTGCATATTTGAGCTCCCTTCTTGGATTACAAGACCTAAGGTAGATCATTGACCTTCTTTATTGTGTATTTGAACTTATTCTTGCATAATTCTTGGGTCTTTAGTGAGTTAAGGCATGAATTGGTTCAATAGTATTGAATTGAAGCTTAATCTTTGCATGCATGGCATACTCTTGCATTTTTTAGGTTGTTCTTCATGGATTTTTGCATGCATGTCCATGTTAATGCTTAGGCCCATGTTTTCATCTTGTTTTTGTAAGAGTTAGCTCATTTGAGCTCGTATTTGAGCATTGAAATGGTTTAAATTCATGCATGTTTGCATGTTCTTCATATTCATGAAAATTGGTTTGAATTGGATTTATTTGAAACACCCTTGGGCTTTGATTTTACAATTGAGCTTTAGAATCATGTTAAAGTATGAGTTTTGATGTGTTTTCTAGAAAATTGGCCCAAGAGGATCGAAATTTATGGTTTAAAAGTTGAATTTGAGCTTGAGGTTCAAATCTGGAATTTCTAGAATTTGGACTCACGCTCGAGCGGGGTGACTGGCGCTCGAGCGTGGAAATCGTGCTCCCAGCATTTTGTTCTGTTTTGAAGTTCGCTCGAGCCGGAGAATTGACGCTTGAGCGGGACATTGTGTCACATGCTCGAGCGGGTGTCGAGCGCCCAATCGAGCGTGATTTTCACCTATCCAGCACTTTTGATTGTTTTGCAGAACGCTCGAGCGGGTAATTCTACGCTTGAGCGGAAACCTTTGTCTGCATGTCCGCTTGAGCTGAGTAACCTACGCTCGAGCGTGACCCCTGTTTTCTGAAAATTCTGAAAATGCTTTTAAAAGTGCATCTTACATCATCATCTCATCCTAGGCATTATTAGGCCTAGTTTAGGGCATCTTAATGAGGATATAGATGTAGAACACACCGAGCCAAATTAGGGATTAAGTTGTTATTTTTCCCAACTGTGTAGCTTAGTGTGTGTTCAATTTGTAATTGTGTAGGGTTGGCGACTGGGGACGCGCTCTAGCTTTACTGTAGCCCAGAACTCTGTGAGTAACAACTGTGTAAAGATATGTTCAAAATGATTATCTTCTGAACAATTGAACTGTACTGCTTTCTGAACTGATACTGTTAACTGAATGAATGTATGTCCTATATTCTGAACTGTATTGTGGCATCCTTAGCAACTACTGTTTACTGTTACTGTTATAG